TGTTCAGCATCTTAGCTGTGGAGGGCAGTGTCACTGGCCCTCATATGTGGGATCCAAACCGGGGCCCTCTGGCGTCCCAAGCGAGTTCTTAACCATCGCGCCACTCGGCCGGCCCCCAAGCCAACTCTTAACCAATGCACCACATGGCCTGCCCTGCAGACGCTGAGCTTTTAAAGACCTCTGGGGGGGCCAGAGCTCTAGGAGGGCACAGTAGCTCAATGAAGGGAGGAGCTTCCCAACAGAATGGCCGAGGAAGGATGAGGCTCCTGTAAGAAGTTGTATGCTTCTTGTTATGGCAAGTGTTGAAAATATATATATATTTTTTATTATAAAACATTCTATATTGCTATAAAAGTTGTGAGAGTAGTATAATGAACTGATACATACCCATCACCCAGCTTCCAAAATACCAGTATTTTCCTGCAGGTGTTTTAAGCAGAAGATGGATGGCTACTTTGGGGGGCTGTAGTTGAGGGGATTTGAACATTGGATTCCCCCGTTTCTGCCTGGAGAGTCAGCGATTCTGATTCCTCTGGGCCAAGTGAGTGGTGACTTGCCTCTCAGCAGCATGACTGACATCTAGTGATGCATCTTATTATCAGTCCCCGGGATAGGCTGGATACCCGTGGAAGCCAGTTCAGGCTCCCTCCTTTTTTCCCTCCCTCTCATCTGCCTGTTGTCAGGCCAGCTGGGACCACAGGACCTGCTTGGCTCCAATCGGTAGCAGGAATAGCAGGCCAATTAGGGTGTTAGAGCTGACCGCTCAGAGGGAGTCTAGGTTGTAAAAGCTTTTTAAACTCCTTAATTTTGCATTAACGAGAATAAATGTCCTTTTAATACTAAAACCGGTCCCAAAGAGGACAGCAGAGATCTAATGATTGTGGTCTGGTCACACGCCTTCCTTTCTGCCCGTCTCCTGGACTCTGTAACAACCACACAAACCATGGCTCACCTCGTTGGAGCAAGCTGCTTAATATTTCATCGAGCCAGCCCACACGCCTTTCTGTTTTCTGTTTCTGGGAAGGAGGAAAGCCACTGTTTGACCATGATGATACCTGCTTAGCAGAGTTAGGTGAAATCATATTTGGGATCAAGTTGTTCTGCTTTTAACGGCAGCCATAATTCAGTTTGGGTTCAGTACCTACAATCTATCAGGCTCTGTGCCGGACCCCGCGGGAGACATAGAAAGGAGTGGTTGAAGCCCTAACTTTCCAGGGCACACTCAAGGCAGTCAATGTAGGTGGGCACCAGTAACCGGAGCCGAGAGCTAAGTGCTTTCACGAGGGTACAAACAAGCCCGCTGAAGGAGAGGAGAGGGCATGACTAGTGTCTTCTGAGAGGGCTGTGGTTATGCCTGCTTCCAGACTCCATTTTCAGCCTCAGTAATGGCAGGAGAGAAGTGGGGATCATAAAAACCAAGCTAAAAGGCAAGCAGCTCGTCTATAGTAGACCAAGAAAGAATGTGGGTACATATAAAGAACTACTAACAAGGAAAGGACAGGTGGCCCTGTGGAAAAATAGGCAAAGGATAAGGACAGGCAGTTCCTAGAAGAGGAAATACAAATGACTAATAAGCATATGAAAAGGTTGTTCAAGGTCATCACTAATTAGGGAGGCTCAGATGAAAACAGCAGTGAGAAACCCTTTGCCACCCACTGGTTGTAAGAAATCAAAGTTTGATTATGTCAAGAGTTGGCAAAGGGAGTGGAAAATTGGTTCTTTTAAGGACCGCTGTTGGCAGTGTCAGTCAGCATAGCCGTTTCGGAGGGCAGTTTGGCGGGGCCCATTAGAAATAAGATAGCTGCTACTAAAAGAAAGAAAATAAGATAGCTGTTATGACTGTGGGTGAAAAAGTGGTCACATACTAAACCTGACAAGCTCAGGGGAGGCCAGCATGGCAGGCCCTACAAACGCAGAGACCAAAATTAACCACAGGGGATGGTCTGAACATAAGAATTCCTAACTAAAAGCGGGTCATGGCTGGGAGTCACATCGTTGGCCTGTAGCTTCCTTGACAAAGGTCATTCTTTACCCTAAGTGAGCCTGTCTATTTATTGTCTTTATACATCTAAGGTAATAGACACTTGGAATGTCAGAGTAATCCCTTTTTCCCAACCCATCAGGGCTCAACCCACTGTGCCAGAGCACCAGACTACAGAACTCCTCATTGTTATCTTGTTCCTTGAATACCATCTCTATGTGCTGTAAATATTAATTGTTAACTATCCTGTACCCACCAATGGAAAAGAAGTGTGTGTCTTTCCATTTTTACTTTTTATCCAGTCCCAGAGATTTCCCTCACTTTGCTTTCTCCCTCAATCTACCCACAATGGATTTCATGTAATCCTCCTTACGTCTCCTCTGATTCTAATGTATAAAATAAGCGGGAAAACTGCCATTTTCTGGAGCATTTTCTTAATCCATTGAGATTTTGCTTCCCAGCAGTTGTCGTCAGTTTGGTTCACTCATTAAACTTCTCTACAGGTTTAGACGTTTCTTACGTCAACATGACTCAATTGCACTACTACTTGGAATCTGTTCAGGAAAAGTCCTATAACACGAATGTGTGTAAGAAGGCATAATCATTGTTGTTCACTGCATCCTTGTTTATAGTAGTGGAAACTGCGACATTTAATTACGAGCCAATGGTTAAATTAATGTTGGTATGCCCATGCTGTAGAATCATAGTAGTTAAAAAGAATAGGGTACGTTCATGTGTGCTGACATGGAAGGAACTGCAGAACATGTTTTTGGATGATAAAAACAACCCCTAGAAAAATAAATACAGTGTATTTGTTTTTTAAAAATAGACAAGAACAAAACCCAACCCAATTCAACCGAACCAAACAAAATATGTGTATGTGTAAAAATTTCGAATGGTTACCCTGCAAGTGCTGACAGAGAGAGAAAGGGGGCTGGGACTCAGGGGGAGACGGTCCAGGCATTGCCCCGCTTTGCTTCATGGCAGCACTATTTTGCAGTGGAGGCCAGAGTCTCATCTCCATCCATTAGCTTTGGAGTGTTCGTGATACTGATAACTTTTCTTGACTGTCAACTTTCTTTTCCCATTCTGCTGCAGTAGTTGTGTTTATATTGCATGGCAGTATGGGAAATATCCCTTGGATGAGAAGAAAGAACAAAAGATACGTAATGGGGTATATTCTGAAAAAGTCTTAGACCATGGACAGGGTTTAGAAGGTAAAGGTCTATTGTCATCATCATCATTATCATCATCACTAACATTAATTGGGTACTTACTGTGTGTCAGATATTGTTCTAAGTGCTTTACATGTATTAACTCATTTAATACATACAACCCTACACATACAATACACACAGTACACAACCCTAGCCCTAACTCTAACCATTCCCTTTGCTACTAGCCTGAGAGTAAAGTCAACACACAGGCAGAAAGAGCCACACGCATCCAGAAACAGAGTTATAAGAAGTCTACCTCTGGACTTCCAGATGCAGTTGCCACCAAGACGCTGAACTAGCTTGACTTCTGGCTCTTTCCCCCAAGATGGGTTTCTGAGGAATCATAAGAGAAAAACACCAGGAAAAGGGGAGAACATTGTGAGAAAGCCCGGGGCGATGGGACTGGTATGTGCGGGTTGATGGTTTGGGTCTGGGGCAAAAGACAGCCAGCCTTGCCTATGGAAGGGTAAACGAGGAGGGAGGACCACTAAGTCCCCTGGTTTGCCATAGCTTTGGGACAAACAGCACCTTTTCCCCACACCTACAGGAACTCTGGTGTCTTCAGGAATAAAATTAAGGCAGTGGAGAAAAACTGGTGCCCCTGCCCAAACCCCAGGGATGTTGACTTATAATCTAAGGATCCCTTAGCATTGTTTCTTCCTGAAGGGCAGAGGAGAAACCCTGACCTGAGGAGACACTTTACAGGGTGGGGATGGCTTAGCTGTAGCTCCACCCCAGCACTAATCTGTCCTCCCCCCCAGCACCCAAGGTTGACAGGGACTGAGGTCAGCCCATTTACATATTGCCTGACAGAGTAGCCAGTACTCCCAGAGCAAAATAATTGCACAGGCCAGAGTAAGAAGACATTTGAAGAGCACGACAGTTTCACAAGAAAAACATCTTACTGGGTTGTTTGATGGAGATTCTATCAGAAGCAGAACTATTAGAAGGGACAGACTAAGTATTTAAAATTAGGTTGACATAATACTAAAAGATATTAAAGGAAGATATTAGCAAGGAAACAAGAAAAAGAAAACAAAAAGAACCAAGCAGAACTATTAGGTATAAAAAATATAATAGTTGAAATAAAGAAGGTAATAGATGGGATTAATAGCAGAATCCATTGAACTTCAGAACAAATAGAAAATGAAAAGATCAGATTGAGGAAATCTCTTGGAAGGAAGAAAGAGAGGACAAAGAAGTAGAAAATAGAAAAGCTAAGAGACACAGACACTGAGAAGTAAATAGAAACACTAGCATCTGATTAATTGGAGACTTAGAAAGGGAAAAGAAAATTGGTAGAGGAAGAACTATTTGAAGAATTAATGGAAAAAACTTTTCCCTAATTGACAAAATAAGATGTAATGCCCCAGACTGAAAGGGCCCATAGACTGTTAAAGAGGAAAGAGAAGGAAAACCCCAGCTAGATCTATTGTAGTGAACCTTCAAGGATTTCAAAGACAAAGAGAGAATTCCAAAAGCTCACAGGGTGAAAGATCAGATCCCATATAAAAGAATTAGAAGCAGATTGACATTAAATATTTTTCAACAGCAATATTCTATGTAAAAAGGCAATACAACAGTGTTTTGGTTCTGTATTGCTACATAACAAACTACCTCCAAACTCAGTGATTTAAAACAGTAACTATTTTTTTAAAAGATTTTATTGGGGAATTGGGGGAGGGGAACAGCATTGGGGAATCAAGGGAAGGGAAACAAACAAGTTGCTGTCCTTTTTTCCTTCAGTCTAGTTGTGGAGGACTTCGCTTCGCTGGCCCATGTTGGTATTACATTCTGCTTTTCCCAGGTGAGGCAGATTAGTCGCCGGGCCCTGGATGGCCGTTCATGGTGGCTCCTGGTAGCTCACACTGGCTGCCGGCCACTCACGCTGGCTGCCTGCCATACATGGTAGCGTATGGCAGCCCACTCCAGCAGGGGCTGCAGCCTACGCTGTCGCCGGCGACTCATGGCAGTCCAGCTCCAGGTCGAGCTGTTGTTTACCATCTTAGCTGTACAGGGCGCAGCGTCACTGGCCCTCATGTGGGATCCGAACCGGGGCCCTGCTGCTCAGAGCTGGCGCCCCAAGCCAGCTCTTAACCAACGTGCCACTCGGCCGACCCTAAAACAGTAACTATTTTATTGTATCTTGTGAATCCTGGGACAGGAATTGGGCAGGGCTCAGCTGACTGATCTATGCATGGAGTTTGTGGAGGTTGCTTGGGAGTTTTCATTTGGTGGACAGACTGGTCTGGAGGGTTCAGGATGGTTCTAACCAATGCCTGGTGCCTTGGCGGGGAAGCTGGAAGGCTAGCTCACCTGGGGATGGTTTGCCAGATGCCTACATGTGACTTCTCTACATGGTCTGTCCAGCATGGAGACTTCTTACATGGCAGCTGGCTTCCCCTGTGTGAGCTCTCCAAGAGGCTCTGGTGGGAACTGCACAACTTCTTATCTTAGCCTTGGGGGTCCTAGGAGGTCACTCCTGCCACATTTGCCTTGGTCCAGCAAGTCACCAAGGCCACCTCAGATTCCAGGAAAGAGGGTTTAGATTCTACCGCTTAGTGGAGGAGTAGGAAGTAATTTGTGGCTGTCTACCACAAATCTATAAATAATGTTCTTAAGTATTGAAGAAAAGGAACTTAGAACCTAGAGTATTGTAACCAGTCAAACTGTCATTCAAATAGGAGGATATGAAAAGTCATTCTGAGGCAATAGGCCTTCAGACACTTTGCCACAGAAACACCTACACTGGAAACAGTTTTGGATGAAATATTTAATAAGAGCAGAGAAAAATCCAGAAGATGTTTCAAGAGATAAATGAAGTAAAGATGGCCAGATTCCTTAGTAAATTTTGATGTCTAAACATCAATTAGCTAAGACCACAGGAAAAGAGAAAACACATACATCCTTGATTATCCAAAATCAAGTCCAGATAATATCAACATGATGAGGACTGGAAGGACAAAGATTAGGGAATTTGAGAGTGTGCCACAGTTCTTTTCTTATCTGGGGTAAGAAAAGGTATAATATCAACTTTATTTTTAAATTTTTTTTATTGTTAGTTTCAGGTGTACAGAACAATGCAATAGTTATCCTTTTTACTCTTCACACAGAAACAACCCTCCTCCCCCATCTACTGCCCTCCTATCCCCGATATCATGCTTATCTATTACAATTCCATTGACTCCATTCCCACTCTCTACTCCACGTCCCGTGACTATATGTATATATAATTATAGTTGACATACAATGTTATTCAACATCAGCTTCAGAAATACAGTGTGGTGGTCAGGCCTCTACACCGACTATGAAGTAGTCTCCCTAACAAGACATGAGCATCAACTTTAAAAAATGACGAAAAAGGAACACAGAAGAAGGGGGACAAATGGAGGGAGTAAGTGGCTTGCCCAGGGTCACATAGCCTTTGGTGGTAGAGCCAGGTGCTAAAACCCAGGTGCTTTAATCATAGAACCCGTGTGTGAGTGAAGTGAGCGAAACATTATCATGGGTGATAAGGTCTGTGCTATAACTGCACTAGCAGAGTAGTCTCAAGGATGTGCTGGTGCTGGTCAGTTGCTCTTTTCTCTGATTTTGGTCATCTCCTTTGTTCCAGGCTGTGAATGGACGGAGGGAAGGGCCGCCCCTGTGTTCCAGCCCAGAGCCGTGAGCCACCTGGTTACATGGCAAGATGGCCGGTGTAGCCGCGCGTTCCTGGCTTCTCTGCCCCAGCCAGAGTCCCATCTCAGTATGGCCACGGGATTTGGCTGTGCAACCATCTTCTGGCTTTTGAAAAATAGGTACAGACAACTTTTCTTCGAATTGGGCGTTGGATTTCTGAGGGAATGAGAGTGGCCAGGGGGCTGCACCTCCAAGCCGGTCAATATCACCCTGCATTCTGGATTGTTCCTTACTGAGTGGGGCCTGCCACAGGGTATAGTCATGGACCTAGACTTGGTCTAGGACTGCTTCATGTCCCAGAGGGCTGTCTATTGGTTATCTTATTCTAATCCAGAGGGGGGAAAAGGGCGCCAGAGAGGACAAGGGACTGCCAAGGGTCATGTGGTGAGTCATGGTGGGGTCAGGGCTGCTGAGAATGACTGATGTTCTGCTTTCCCAGGTAGAGTGTATCCCCTCCTGAGTCCTCTCCCCTAATGACAGCTTTGCTTGGAGTGACTGGGAGGGCCTCAGCTCAGGAGGTCCATCTGGGGAGCCTGTGGGGTTCTGGCTGCCACCCAGCTGTGCCATTTGTAGTCCACTCTGCCCGCACGTAGATGCTGCACACGCTGTCAAGTCACTGTTAGATGATACTGAATTGTTTTTGGTATGAAAACCAGCCCAGAGTTTCTGAAGTCCTACGATGCCGCTGGCACCATCCATGACTATGTGGTTGCCATGTTGTGTGGCTTGCCCAGACCCCTGATGTCTGACCAGAATGCCGCTAGCTGGGGCTATTTCAACACCCAGAGCCAAACCTGGAACATGGAGATGTGAGTATTACCTTTCAGGCTGGCTCCGGCTGAAGGGCAGATTCTCGAGAGTGAAAGCTTTGTCGGGGCTTTCCGATGTGGGAATAGTGGGGGATTCCAGGAGGCCAGGGTTCCAACGCCCCCCCCCAACCTGTTCCAGTCACTGGGCATGGGTGGGCCTGGTGGCAAGTGAAGCCCTTGGGGAGGCTCCTCCAAAGTCACCCAGACCTAGGGTGGGCTCCCCAGTTCTCTGTGACTCGAGCCTCACCTGTAGATTTCAATAAGCAACTTTTACTCTTTAATATGTTTTAAAATAAGGTGAAGAAATGAAAGCGGTAGGCAAGAGGGATGCCTTTTCAGTTCTGTTTAAACAATCATTTGCCTTTTCAGGTCCAGAGGTCCAGTGCCCTGTAAGTTCACTTCCTTCAGGGCCCCAATTCTGAGCTCTAATAAAACAAAAAGCACCTGGTAGTTCAGGTAAAGGACTTTCTAGCATGTTTTCTAGAATTGGCAGCCCCATATTCACTAATGCTGGGTGATGAGTGCATTTGGTACTCAGGAGATGACCCATGGGTGTGACTTTGTTGTGGTCTGTGCTAACCACCTTTGACTTTGCACGGAAGCTCCCGGCTGCCTCCCTTTGCAGCAGAGTGTGTGTGTTTCCTTTAAACATAGGGGGCTGGATGCCCCCTGTTATCTGGCTCTTATCTAATTCTTCCTGATCATCCCTGCTTAAACCGCTTGTTTTCTTCCCCTGGAGGCCAATCCCAAGTTGTTGGAAGCCAGTGTTTACTCTTTTAAAACCCCGCGCCTATTTCTCCTGGTTTTTAGAAAAGCTAAAGAGGCCCCCCGTGAAAACACTGGCATGTCCCTTCCCTTCTGTTTGTATCCTATAGCATTTCCCTTTGCTGAGTTTCCTGGAAACAACAAACCCCAGAAAACCTAGCTCTAGGTAAATCCACTGTCCTATTTCGGTTTGCAGACTGAGGGCCTCGGGCTTTCCTGTCCGTCTGCTCCCGGACGTCACGCAGCCCGCCAGCGTGGCAGGCAGAACTTCCCACGCGTGGCTCGAAATCCCCAAGGGGACACAGGTGGGCGTGGCCTTGGGTGACTTACAGGCCTCCGTCTATTCCTGTATGGCCCAAAGGACAGATGCCGGTAAGTCTTTTGTTCTCTCCTTAGACTTCTACTCTGTGTGAGGGTCCAAGGGGCACACATACCTGGTAGCCTCAGCATCCTGTCAATCATTATCCTGGAAACATGAAAATCACCTCCATCCCTACAGGTGAAGCCCCTGCCCCGGGAGGTTATCATCCAGCAGGGCCAGTTCTGCCCCTGACCACAGCCTGTGTCTTTCCTCTCTAGGGCCAGGTGAGGGAAACGACCCTCTCTTTCTCGTTGGCTGGTTTCTGTGTAACTCCATGACCAAGAAAATAGATTAGTAGATTAAGGTTTCTTATTTTGTGTTTGTCAATGAAAGTTCCATTCCATCTGATTAGAAAGGCAGAGCCTTTTCTGTATTTTCGTGCAAGAGAGTTACAGTGAGGTGGAAGCATCAGTCTAGGGCAGGGGTTGATGCACTTTTTCTGTAAAGGGCCAGATAGGAAGTATTTTAAGCTTCGTGGGCCGTATGGTTTCTGTTGTAACTATGTAACTCTGCTGTTGGAGTGTGAAAGCAACCATAGCCAATATATGAATGAATGGGCCTAGCTATGTTGCAATGAAACTATTTATAGAACTGAAATGTGAATTTCATATAATTTTCATGTGTCATGAAATATTCTCCTTTTGATTTTTTTTGTTTGTTTTAGTGTTTTATTATATCTCTCTATATATTTTTTTGTTTTGTTTTTCTTCTTTTGATTTCTTTTCAACCATGTGAAAATGGAAGAATATGTTACTGGGGTTGTAAACTAGTGCAGGCCCTTTGGAAAACAGTCTGGCAGTTTTGCAAAAGTTAAACATGGAGCTACGCTGTGACCCAGTAATCCTACTCCTGGGTATACACCCAAGAGAACTGAAAACACATATCCACACAAAAACTTGTACACAAATGTTCCTAGCAGCATTATTCCTAATAGGCAAAAAGTAGAAACAATGCCCATCAATTGATAAACAGATTAATAAAAAGTGGTGTATCCACACAGCTAAAATGCCACAACATGTGAATGAAAGTGAAAGGAATGAATGAAGCATATCCCAAAAGGCCATCTATTGTATGATTCCATTCCTATGAAATGTCCATAATTGACAAATCCGTAGAGACAGAAAGTAGATTAATGGTTGCCAGGGGTTTGAAGGGGAGAGTGTGATTGTGAACAGGTACGGGGATTCTTTTTGGAGCGATGAATATGTGTTCTAAAATTAGATCTAGGTGATGGTTGCACAATTCTGTGAATATCCTAAAAACCCCTGAATTGTACACTTTAAAGGGGTATGTTATATAGTGAATTTATATGAATTACATCTCAATAAAGCTATTAGAACAAAAAAAAAAGTGAAAGCTGTTCTTAGCTCCTGGGCCATACCAAAACAGACGGTGGGCTGGATATAGCCCGTGGGCCATCATTTGTCCATCCTTGTGTTACTGGAGTGCAGGCCTTCCTCGGCCTGGTGTCCAGGTTTCTTGGCGTCTCGAGCAAAGAATTGAACGAGATACCGAGGGAAAGTAGTGTAAGAGCAGTTTATTAGAAGAAAAAGTGCACTTCAAAGAAACAGAAGCTCAAAGGCCTAAAGCCCCAAGGGCCAGGGCCAAGGCCAAGGGTGTCATTATTAGGAAATAAAGTACACTCCAAAGAGTTTGGAGCAGGCCGAGCTAAAGAAGGAGCTCAGAAGGTGCTGACTGGCCAGGACTTGCAGTTTTTATCCTTCTTTCTCTAGAATGGGCTGTTCCTTTCTACGTATAGGACCACTTGATTGACAACTGTGATTGACAAGAGGCTATTACCTCATCTTTTTATTTTATTTATTTATTTTTTTACAGATTTTTTATTGGGGAGTTGGGGAAGGGAAATAGTGTTAGGAAATTGGGGAAGGGGAACGGCCAAGTTGTCCTTCAGTCTTAGTTGTGGAGGGCGCAGCTAGCTCAGCTCCAAGTCCAGTCACCATCTGGCTGCCTGTCGGCAGCTAGGGGCTGCTCAGCTCAAGGTGCCATGTTCAATCTTAGTTGCAAGTAGGCATAGTCCACCATCCCATGCGGAAGTCGAACCGGCAACCTTGTTAGGAGCACGTGCTTTCACCAGCTGAGCCATCCTGTCACCTGTTGACGGCTCAGCGGCAGCTCAGCTCGGGCGCAGCTCACTGGCCCATGTGGGAATCGAACCGGCAACCTCGTTGCTCAGAGCTCACGCTCTTAACCAACTGATCCACTCGGCCAGCCCTACCTCATCTTTTTAGACTGCACATGTTCCCTCCCAGAGTTCAGTCTGTTATAATGATATTAATGAACTTCCAGGCATATGTATGATATTATAATGATGGTATAATAAGGCCCAGGTGAAATGAAGGTTGTTGTGGTCTTTATTATAGCGCAGGTGTGAGTGACCAGTCTCATCCAGTCGAGTATTTTGTACTCATTTGTTTCCTCATAGGGGCAGATAATTACAATGAAGAAGGGAAGTTTTGGATGGAAAGGGAAGGTATTTTGGTCGGTCACATCCTGTGGGTTTGTTGGACGTGCAGGAATGCAGAGACCCGATGCCTGTCTCTATCTGCCTGTCTTGTTTTCCCCTTGAGAGATGTGATCCCCATAAAATCTCTATGGGAAACTGAGGGACAGGAGGTCTTTTCTTCTGTATCTTCTTCCTGCTGGGCAGGGGCGTAGAGCTGTCCCTGCCTATTGGGGGGTTCACGGAACTCTCACCCTAGCTGATCTCGGATGAGAGGAGGGGGTCTCAAGATCTGCCTGGAAGACCGTATTGGCTTCTTTTGTTGCGACTGGCAATCTTGCTGGGGCACCATCTGTATCCCCAAGGCCCCTGAATGAGGAAAAATAGATTTTAATTAATTAATTTCCTAAAGAGCAGAGCTCAAAGCTATTGATGCAGGGTGGCTACGGGTTTGGGAAGAACATTAGGCTTCAGTGATTACAATCAACAAGTATGAGTCACAAATTTCAGGGCAATTATCTAAAGCAGGGGGTAGGAGATGAAAACCTGGGAAAAAGGAAACTTGAAGAAAAAGGAAGCTGGGCCGGCCGAGTGGCGCGATGGTTAAGAACTGGCTTGGGACACCAGAGGGCCCCGGTTCGGATCCCACATATGAGGGCCAGTGACACTGCCCTCTACAGCTAAGATGCTGAACAACAGCTCAACCTGGAGCTGGGCTGCCGTGAGTCGCCGGCGACGGCGTAGGCTGCAGTCCCTGTGGCAGTGGGTTGCCATGGGCTACCGTATGTAGCCAGCAGCCAGCGTGAGCGGCCAGCAGCCGCAGTGAGCGGCCGTCCAGAAGCCGGCGACTGATCTGCCTCACCCGGGAAGAGCGCAATGATGGTGCCAACTTGGGCCAGTGAAGCAGTGTCCTCCACAACTAGACTGAAGAACAAAACGACAGCAACTTGTCTGTTCCCCTTCCCCCAATTCCCCAGCACTGTTCCCATCCCCACAATTCCCCAATAAAAATCTTTAAAAAAAAAGGAAAAAGAAAAAGGAAGCTTAAAATCAAAGTTTTTCAGTGGGGTGGGGGTGGGGGTGACTACTTGCTTGGCCGCATCACCTTGGGCCTGGCTGCCCAAGCAGGGTGGTTTCAGGATGTGTGTTTCATTTGATCCTCACAGCAGCCTGGCTGAACAGAGTCCACTTTGGGAGCACCTCGTTATCAAGGGGATCAGAGAATTCATTCATCTTACCGAGGTTCTCTTCCTCCATCAGTTAGAATGATTACAATTCACCCCTGAGTTTAAAAATTCTGAGTTGCACTATCCTCGGTATAGTAGTTTGTTCCTATTTCATTCCATTATGAAGAAATAACATTTTAAGAAACTGGTTTTATTTTGTTTTTAGTAGTGATTCCTGTTAATTCAAGATTAGCTGAGAGGGAAAGGTGAAATTCTGCCAATTTTGTTTGCCCGTATATGTGATAAAATCTTCTAAGGTCAGAAAGAGTTCAAAACTTTTTCTCCCAAATTTTCAATGAAAATCAATGCCCAGGGAAAAGAGGCTAAGTTTATTCTGTGAGGTTTAATTTTCCCAGTGCACTGTTGCTCTCCTTATATAAATCTTCTTCGCAAAGCATGCCTGTCAGGGAACTCATGTGGGCTTTGGGTCCAGCCCTCACGCCTGGGTTGCAATTTCAGCCCCTCTTTCTTCCATCGGACGTGACCTTGGGCAGGCGGCTTTTCTTCCTGAGCCCTCGGCATCACCCACAATGAGGGTGATGATGTCTTCTCATGGGGCAGTGGTAGTGATGCCCTGGGGTGCTGCTGCCTGTAAAAGCCTGGTTCTTTTCTCCTACCTGGTATTTTTCAAATCTTAGGCTGTTCCTTCCACAGGGGGCTGTCCTATGCCTGGATGTAAATGTGCTTTCTGTATGGTGAGTGAGGGGCTCGTCAAATAGGAAGAAAGTGAGACTTAGTCACCCTCTTCACTGAGCTGGTTGTAGTCTCTGGTTCCAGATTGGGGTTACTAGCCTGTACTCAGCTGTGCCGCGTCCATGGGCAAAGTTGGTTGGCCCCATCATTGACACCTCCACCTGAGGGGACAGGTGGAGGGCACATTGCTTTTGGTTTATAGTTATGGTGAAAGGCTTGATGGGGCAGAAAGTAAACGTTATTGGCTTCCTGAGATTTGTTTTTGCTCTCCTTGCTTCTAACCCCACAGTAGGTGGGAAAGTTGAATGCTGACTTCAATTAGTTAGGCCCCCAACAGATGGAAAACAGAGTTTTTGGTCAGGTCTTGTGAGAAATGGAGGAGACTCCTGGAACAGTCTGCAGGCCCTGGCCATGATCTAAAGAAGAAAATCGTCCCCTCTGTGCTGGGTCTGGGAGTTTCCCCGCTGCTTGTGGGGGAGGTTAAGAAAATGAGAAGGAGGGATGGCCGGTTAGCTCAATTGGTTAGAGTGTGGGCTCATAATACCAAGGTTGCCGGTTCGATTCCCACATGGGCCATTGAGGTGTGCCCTCCCCAACTAGATTGAAACAACTATTTGACTTGGAGCTGTGGGTCCTGGAGAAACACACTATTCCCCAATAATCCCCCCTGCCCAAAAAAAAAGAAAAAGAAAAAGAAATTGAGAAGAAGGTAGAATTTGCCAAAAATGAATAAGACCTTTGAAGAGAATACAACATTTGGGCTAAGGTCTTACTCTGTGCAAACAGTTGTCTATTGCTGTGTAACACATCACTCTATACTTAGTAGCCTAAAACAGCAAACTGTTGCTACTTCACACAGTTTCTTTTTGTGTATGTGCCTAGGTTTGAAATTTATTTTGTAAGTATCTGTTTAAAATAGATGATACAGGGGCCAGCTGAATGGCTCAGTTGGTTAAGAGCTTGCTCAAGAGTGCGAGCTCTGAGCAACAGCGGTTCGCATCCCGCCCGAGCTGAGCTGCTGCTGAGCTGCCAACAGGTGGCTGGATGGCTCAGCTAAAAAAAAATTAAATAAATAAAATAAAATAGATGATACAGTTTCTGAGAGTCAGGAATCTGGGTGTAGCTGGAGGGTCTGACTCAAGGCCCCTCATGAGATTGCAGTCAAGCTGTCAGTGGGCTGGGACTGCCCTCATCTGAAGGCTTGACCAGGCCTGGAGGGTCCACTTCTCAGTTCCCTAATGTGGCTCTTGGCAGGAGGCCTCAGCTTGTTGCCACGTGGGCCCTCGTAGTAGTGCCTTCTCCCAGAGCAAGTGAACCAAGACACAAGCTGCAGTGCCTTTTTATGACCTTGTCTTCAAAGTCACATGCTGTCACTTCTGCTTTTTTTTTAATTTAAAAATTAAAGTTTAATAAAGAACAGGATATAGTCCCAAAATATCTCCCAACAAAAATACTTCTACCCCACATAAGTGAAATCACATGGTTCTCGACTTTTTCTGACTTATTTCACTTAGCATAATACTCTTGAGATCCATCCATGTTGTTGAAAATGGCAGTATTGCATCTTGTCTTATGGTTGAGTAATATTCCATTGTATATATGTACCACAACTTCTTTATCCAATCATCTATTGAAGGACATTTTGGCTGTTTCCATGTCTTGGCCACCGTAAGTAATACTACAATGAACATCAGATACATATATCTTTATGGATAAATGTTTTCAAGTTTTTGGATAGATACCCAGGAGCAGGATTGCTGGGTCATATGGAATTCTATTCTTAACTTTTTTAGGAACCTTCATTCTGTTTTTCGTAGTGGTTGTATCAATTTACATTACCAGCAGCAGTGTATGAGGGTTCTTTTTTCTCCACAACTTCTCCAACGCTTGTTATTATTTGTCTTGTTGATAATAGCCATTTTAACAAGTGTGAAGTGATAGCTCATTGTGGGTTTGATTTGCATTTCCCTAATAGCTAGTGAAGTTGAGCAGTTTTTCATGTATCTGTTGGCCGTTTGTATGTCTTCTTGGGAGAAGTATCTGTTCAGGTCCTCTGCCTATTTTTTAATTGGATTGTTGTTTTTTTTTTTTTGTTCAGTTACTTGTATGAGTTCTTTATATATTTTGGATATCAGCCCCTTATTGGATGTATTGTTTACAACATTTCTATTTTATATTCCCTTCATGAGAAGCAAGTTGCTGAGTCCAACCCATACTCATGGGGAGGGGAACTAGGTTTTTTCCTGAAAGGAGGAATTTGGGGACGTGTTTCTCAAACCAGCACACTCTCCCCCTGCCCTGTTGGGACTTGTGACGTCTCAGTTTGCCCGACAGGCCTAACCTCTGCTTTCCTTGGACCCCAGTTCTCAACATAAGCACCTCAATTCAGCTGGCAGCCTCCATGCCTTCAGGATTCCAGCCGGCACAGACACCAGACCCTGCAGCCCCAGTTGCCTACTTCCCATACTTTGACAGGACCTACCTGGCAGTGGCAGCATCACTCAACGGGGGCAATGTGCTGGCCACATTCGTCCACATGCTGGTCCAGTGGATGGCGGAGCTAGGTAAAGTATGGCCCACACTGCGGTGTGCTGTCCTTTCTATGTGGCAATGTCTTTGTGCTGAACGTGCTGTTGAAGCTTCTAGATTCATGTCTCAGACCCAGCCAGGTTCTAGAACATCCTTTCCTTCCTTAGGGATCTGAGCTTGTAGCCTTCTTTCCTCTCATCTTCTGAGCTGCCATCACCTACTCTCTTTTTTGAGAGAGCACCTTCTACCCTCACCTTGACTGTGGAGTATCATGAGTCTCCCAGCTCTCCCCTGCCCCACTATCTTGTTTTCTCTGCCAGTAAGCTCCTGGGTTCCTTGCATTTGAGGTTATACTTCTGATGACTACATACAGATGAAAATAAAAGGATCAAACACAAATGAGGGGAAAGACTCGTGGTATTTTACAAGATCATGAAATCCTCATAGCATTTAATCCTGGTGAGTAGTTCCTGACTCCCTTTCTTAGAGAGATCCCTCCTGGCTACTGACGACCCCCTGCTCTCTTCTTTAATTTTCAGGATAGAGTTGATCAGGCCTTCCTCTGCTCTACATTATAGGGAAACACGAAACCTCCCTCTTCCAGGAAAGGTTCCCTTTCCAAGTACTTAAAGTAGACATGAAATTTCTGGTTGGCCGTCTAGGTCTAGAGAAATCATGTTCTTCTGATGCATCGGTTACCTATAGGAACTCAAAATCAAGTCATTCCAGGAAACCCCCCACATAGTCAGGGAGCCATGGGAAGCTCTTAGGGTCAGTCATGCAGACAAGTGTGGCTGACTCACATGGGTCTTTTCAGGCTGGCCAGGGAGGTCAAGATGGCTGTGTGTGTGAGTGTGTGTGTGTGTGTGTGTGTGTGTGTGTGTTCTGCCCCATTGGCTGAGATCTCCTCAGGAATGCTTCATGGAAATCACAGAACTTGGATTTTGTTTTGCCTCGCCTCAGAAAAGGTTTTCAAGATGCAGAACCAGTTATCACCACCTTCAGGCAAGCCCTTTATCTAGATACTGCTTTAACTGGCTTGGGTCCGTTAATTGTTTACTGAGTTGACCGGTGTTTTTCTTTATACAGAAGTAACTATTTTTCTTACCCCTGAAAGCGGTGGTAATACTATTTAATTTCTTTGTCAGACCCTTCAAGAAAAAAAGTTGTTTGCATTTTCATGGTTCTTATTTTTAGGAAACTGTGTTTTGAAGGTTAGCATCTTATGTAACTTAACCTTTTATGAAATTTCGGCAGTTATGTCATTTGATTGAAAAAAACATAATTGCCAATATAAGAAAATTTAATCATATAAAAGACATACTTTTATTAACCAGAAACGGCCATGTTAAAGCATAGAATACAAAATAAAACTCTTGCTCTATTCAGAATACCATCCTATATTTGCATTCTATTCCAGAGGTTGGAAACAAGGAGTCCACCCTCATGTGGTAAGTTAGAGCAGGGCCTCAGAAGCAGGGTGGGCTGAGTTCGAATCCCAGCTCTGTGACTTGTGTGTGCTGTACTTCCCTTATCTGAAAATGAGGATCATCCTAGCGCCTACCTCACAGGACTGTGAGAATTAAGTGAGTTAAAATTGCGAAGCACTTAGAACGGTGTCTGGCCCATAGGAAGTACTGTATAACGCTTGTTAAATAAGCATAGTGTGGTGGCTGCAACCCAGGAGAGTGGCCTCAGTCCCCACCTCTGTCCCCAAGTCATTATGTAGCCTGGGCAAGTCCCTTGCCTTCTGTGTGTGTTTCCAGCTCCGATGTTCTGTGGTTCTAAGCCTGTGGTGTGGACATTTGGCCATGTGTAGCAGGTAATCCCACCAATAGATTCAGAGGAGGTGGTGAGCCAGGGATGCACAGATAGGACTGGAACCAGGTCCTTCCTTCAGGTGCTCCCCAAAGTCTGGGTTGTGGCCCCAAATTTTCCCAGTGAGGAAGAACACTTTCTTTCCACATTTCCTTAAAAAATATTTTGAAGTTTTATTGGGGAAATACAATCACACTATTATTATGATTATTATTTATTTGTGTGTGTGTGTGTGTGTGTGTGTGTGTGTGTGTGTGTAAATTTTATTGGGGAACAGTGTGTTTTTCCAGGACTCACCAGCTCCAAGTTGAGTAGTGTTTCAAACTAGTTGTGGAGGGTGTGCAACTCAGTGGCCCATGTGGGGACTGAACCGGCAACCTTGGTGTTATGAGCTTGAGCTCTAACCACCTGAGCTAACCGGCTGCCCCATTATTATTATTCTTAGACTGTAGACTTTATTCGAATCTCTACCACTTTTCCACTAATGTCTTTTTGTGTTCTAGGATTCCATCCAGGGTACCACATTATGTATATTTTTTATTTCATTTTATTTTTAAAAATTTTTTTTTTAATTGGGGAATTGGGGGGAGGGAACAGCGTTGGGGAATCAGGGAAGGGGAACAGACAAGTTGCTGTCCTTTTTTGTTCTTCAGTCTAGTTGTGGAGGACTTCACTTTACTGGCCCATGTTGGTATTATCATTGCGCTCTTCTCGGGTGAGGCAGATCGGTCGCTGGCGATTGGACTGTCGCTCACGGCGGCTCTTGGCAGCTCATGTCGGCTGCCAGCCACTCACGGTAGCCTACGGCAGCCCACTGCAGCAGGGGCTGCAGCCTACGCCGTCGCTGGCGACTCACGGCAGCCCAGCTCCAGGTCAAGCTGTTGTTCACCATCTTAGCTGTAGAGGGCGCCATCACTGGCCCTAATGTGGGATTCGAACTGGGGCCTTGATGCTCAGAGCTGGCATCCCAAGCCAGCTCTTAACCAATATGTCACTCGGCCGGCCCCACATTACCTTTATCCATCATGTCTCCTTAGTGTCTCTATCTTCTATTGGATCGATCTGTTTTTTTCTTTTTTTATCTCCTTTCCCTTTTTCCCCATTAGTTTGATGCTTTTACATTTATATCTATTCTTTTAGAAGTTTCCGACACACTCTGTTTCCTAGGATGTGGAGAGACAGTCACTGTTACACGTTGCTGTGTGGTGTAAATTTGTACAACTTCTAAGGAGGGAATGTCACGTGACTATTTTTTGATCCAGCAGTTCCCCTTCAAGGATTCAGTCCTATAGATTTATATACTGGTACACATTTACTAGGTGATCCAAGCACATGAGTTTTTCTGATATTTTAGTAGAATTTCTAGAGGGAGAGGAACAACACATATTCATTCTGCCATGTTTAATCAAAGTCCTACTGATCAAATTTTGACTATAATATTTAAATTGCCTCTCTCTCTCTCTCTCTCTCTCTCTCTCTCTCTCTCTCTCTCTCTCTTTCCCTCTCCCTCTCTCTCGTTCCTGAGCATGTATAGTTGAGTTTGTATAAATTAAATGTGCTGATGATGAGACTCCTTGGTGACTCTAGGTTGGTGGTTCTTAGCACTGGCCACACACTAGAAATACTTGTGGAGTTTTTAAAACAATGTGGATGTTCTCGTCCCGCCTGCACAAATGCTGATTATTTGGTCTGGGGAGTGGGTGGGGCCTGAGCATAGCATTTTATAAAGGTTCCTCAGCTGATTCTGATGCCCTCAAATGTGGGTAAGTGCCAGTCTAGAACCTTCTACTCAAAAAGTGTGGTCCTCAAGCAAGCAGTCCTGGTTTCCTCTAGGACAGCGGTTCTCAATCTTCCTAATGCCGTGACCCCTTAATACAGTTCCTCATGTTGTGGTGACCCCCAACCATAAAATTATTTTCATTGCTACTCTATAACTGTAATTTTGCTACTGTTATGAATCGTAATGTAAATATCTTTTTGTTTTCACGATGGTCTTAGGCGACCCCTGTGAAAGGGTCGTTCGACCCCCAAAGGGGTCGCGACCCACAGGTTGAGAACCTCTGCTCTAGACCATGATCAGCCCTGTGATCCTGGGATCTCTATGACAGTGCTAGTAAGTCTACTAGCAGCTGTGATGATACTTATTGATTAGTATATGCATTATGGCCCCCTTGGGACCAAGGGCCCCATAGCTGTAGGATGGTTAGGCTTCACAGCAACACTTACAAGATCTCTCCTTGATCTCTGGGCTGGGGTCTGCAGTGAGAGAGCTGGCTGAGATCTGGGGCAGGGCCTAGCTAGCCAGGCTGTGTGAGCCCTGAGATGGCACAGCCAGCTTCAGTGAGAAGCAGGTAGTAGATTTATCCCAGCCCCCTGGGAATTCTGTATTGTCTCATCCTGCAGCAAGCGGGGGTGGGGGGGGGTGGAGTGAGGGGGTGCGCATGAGTTCTCACAGGTCTTCTCTGTTCCTGGCAGGCCTGGAGGTTGAAGAATCCACTGTGTACTCACGCATGATCCAGGCAGCTGCGCAGCAGACAGACACCTGCCTAACTATCACTCCAACAGTGTTGGGCGAGAGGCACCTGCCAGACCAGCTGGCCTCAGTGACCAGAATCTCCTCCTCTGACCTCTCCCTGGGGCACGTGACCCGGGCCCTGTGCCGAGGCATCGTTCAGAACCTGCATTCCATGCTTCCATCTCAGCAGCTCCAGGAGTGGGGCGTGGAGCGTGTGGTCAGCAGTGGGAGTGCGCTGTCCAGGAACGAGGTGCTGAAGCAGGAAGTGCAGAGGGCTTTCCCTTTCCCAGTGTCCTTTGGGCAGGATGTAGACGCAGCTGTGGGGGCAGCACTAGTCATGTTCCAGAGAAACCTCAAGCAGGAGGAGCCCTAGTCAGCACACTATTTGGCCAAAGGACTGTTGCAAATTTTATCTAATTAACATTCCTGATGTGATCTTGGGGTCATCCTTTTCCTGGACAGCTCGGTGGGCAGTTTTTAAACAATGCTTCTTTTCAGGCACCATCTTGACCAAGGACCTTCCTTCAGGGTACACTCTAATAATGTAGCCAGGAGTCATCAACCAGATCCCAAATCAATGCCTTCTGAAAGAGACTCACCTGGGAGCTGGTTGCAAATGTAAATGTGGAAAAAAGAAAGAGAAAAAAGGAACAGGAGCCCAGCATCCTGGTCAGCAGGCTCACCTGTGATTCACCTGCAGATAAAGAGAAAATACATGTGGACTTCAGGCACCAAAAAGCCTGGTAGCTGTGGGCTCCAAGTAAGAAAAGAAGACCTGGGGGTCGGCTGAGTGGCTCAATTGATTAAGAGCGCAAGCTCTGAGCAACAGGGTTGCCGGTTCGATTCCCACATGGGCCAGTGAGCTGCACCCGAACTGAGCTGCCGCTGAGCTGCCAACAGGTGGCAGGATGGCTCAGCTGGTGAGAGCACATGCTCCTAACAACAAGGTTTCCGGTCTGACTCCTGCATGGGATGGTGGGCTACGCCCACCCACAACTAAAATTGAACATGGCACCTTGAGCTGAGCAGCTGCGAGCTGCCGACAGGCGGCCAGATGGTGACTGGACTTGGAGCTGAGCTAGCTGCGCCCTCCAGACAACACTTGGCTGTTCCCCTTTCCCAATTTCCCAACACTGTTCTCCTTCCTCAATTTCCCAATAAAAATCTTTAATAAATAAATAAGTAAATAAATGAAAAGAAGACCCTTCCCACTCCCCACTCCACCTCCAGCTTTTGTATTGTTTGTAGGGACATGAAGCCCAGACTTGGGCCACATGTGCGGTTGGAAAATTCCTTCCCTACTGGATTGTACCATATGACCCCTTTCCCAATCTCATTCTCCCCTGGCCACAGCTGGTTAGCTGGGGCAGCGGGAAGCCCAACGACCGTGAAGCAGCCTGGCTGAGGAGAAGATACAGGGGTCTGTGCTGGCTTTCTCACCACATACTTCCCCTCAAGGAGAGCCTGCTGCCCCAGATCCTCACAGCACAACTGGCGTGAAGCCATGGAACAGGGAAGGAAAGGCGGGTGGCATGGCCAGCAAGGGAGATGGATGCCGCATGGCTACCACCACGCAGCCACATTGTTCCCAAGAGTCTAACCAGGCACCAGCAGGACCCTTTTCCATGATTGGGTCTGTGCAACAATGGGTTTTCCCCCCTGCACAACCCTGGAATCTTTCCAAGGGGAGGGATGCATCCGGACATCCTCCTGCCAGAGCAGGTGGTAAGTTTAATCAGAGAGGACCTAGCTCTTTGTTTTGGTGTGGGCCTTGCTGGCTCACATGTGTTCCTGTCGCGCAGAGCATCCTACTGAGTCAGCATGTCTGCAAGGACCCCAGAGCATCTCAAGCCTTCCTGTGGTCAGTAGGGATGACTGTGGAATGGCTTCCAGGAGAGGGCCGCCATTGCTGCATCTACTTCCACGTTCCCAAGGGTGAACCCAGGCACCTAGGCGACTTTGTGTTTGGGAAGTAGTCATGTCGTGTCTTTGTAAATGCCACTTTATGAATTACGTGATTGTCTGAAGCTCTTTGATGAATCTGCCTGGCTGTGCTGATTGAATTTCAGATACTAAAGCTCCTCCCTTCCAGAGCCTTTTCCCTTTAATAAAAGACACCTTTCTGGTTTGGGAAGACTGTGAGTTACGGCAGAGCTGGGTTTGGGAATTTGCACATCGCCCTGAGGAATCATTTGTAGGTTACCCTGTAGAAAGGCCCTGCCTGCACCCCAGTTCTACGAGGACAAGTGGCTGCAGATCACTCAGGAAAGTCATGTAATTTTTCTCTCAGCTAGAATGAGTTAAGATGCCATCATTTTTGAGCCCATGAGAAAGGTCTCTGAGATAGAAGGCACCTAGGGATAGGCCTAAGGGTAACAGCTGTGTCTGTCAGGAGGCACTGGCCCTATGACTTTCATTCTCAGGGTGTATGGATAAAATCTGAATATAAGATTAGGAGCTAGATGGGTGTCCTGCAAGCCCAGGCCCAGGCAGCCCAGCCCAGTGCCTAGCGCAGCCCCTTCCCATGAGTCCACTCGACCTCTGAGGGCTGAGCCTTGCACGTTCTGAGCTTGTCAGCTAGCAGTGCTGCTGCTGTTTCTATTGCATGTGGCCTGGAGCCTCTGCAGGGGGGCTGAGTACAGCTACCAGGGCCTCATTTCTCCAGCCTGAAGTCAGACACCATTACTGCTTCTGCTTTTATTCCCAGGAGGTACCAATGAGTGTTTGAGACCAGCATGGTCCTCAGATGAGGAACTGGGCTTTTACGAGTATGACTGTTTGCAACATCCTGATCTTGGAAGCAAATGGTAGTCTCATACCTGATTTCCCACCTGATTTGCTTCGGTCAGTAAAATGTGAACTTTAGAAGTGTGTCACTTGTAGGCAGAAGCCTTTAGGAGCCAGTGTGTCATTTGCCACACTCCCTTCCCTTTGCCACAGTGATTGGTGGTGTCCCAGAGTGTAGAGGCTTGGTCAGCCTGCGTCCTGTGTGAGGGCGACATGATGTACAGCTCTCATCAACCAGTGAGTAACATGCAGTGTGATTGAGACACAAACCTCTGAGATTTGAAGCCATTGAGATTTGGGGATTGTTTGTTATCACAGCATAACTTAGTTCATCCTGACCACTACGGCCACAGTAGAGACTGCCTGAGAAGTCCCAACTGCGCCCAGCACACGCCCAGATGAGTCTTATTCATTGAGCATCTACTAGGAACTGGGTGTTCTGTCAGGTTCTGTGATGTGCTGTTGAATTTCCATCACTAAGGAATGTCGCTATGACAGATTTACCCATGTGCACAGAAGGAGGAGCAATTCATTTTTACACAAGTGACGTTGAACTAAACCGTGGCATGTTTCAATCCATTGACACTAATAACTATTTTTCGAGTTCTACTATGTATTCCTCTAATCGGAGCTAATTGGCCCTCTACTTGTTTGAACTCATTTGATCTTCACAATGATCCTAGAAGGTGGGTACTAGTACCCTCATTTCTCAGACGAAGAAACCGAGACACAAAAAAAGTGAAGGAACTTACCTAAGATCCAACACTAGGATTCAAACCCCAAGAGTCCACTTTCTTTAGCTTTCTAGGCAGAGGGGTCGAGCTAGGCAAATATATTTATGTTAAAGTGATTGGCATGTCCATGATAGGATGAATTGTCTGGTGTAACTGGGTCATAGGGCAAATGAAAGGGTATTGTAGGAGCCGTGGCTGGAAATACTGACCCCACTGTGGAGGGTCTTGGATACTAGACTGAGGGGTTTGGACTTTCTCCTATAGGCAGCAGAGTGGAGGATTGGGGCTTCATGGGCATCAGACGTATAAGTGCTGGTGGTATGGACTCAGGGTTGGAGGATGGGTGTAGTGGCCCAATTGGAGAAACCTGGAAAATAGCCTGTGAGAGATGGTGGGGCATGAACCGGCATGGGCACAGAGGAGTGCCAGTCGTCCAGCTCCATCCCCTGCTCCCTGCCACACACACCCTCCCTTTGGCCCATGACTCTATCCACATAATATTTATATGGCTTTCATGTTCTCCATTTTCCTTTTCTTCTCAAGTGGACTGAAAGCTCCTTGAGGGCAGGGTCCCTATTAGGTATTCTCTGTCCCAGCCTCTCCCTGTGCCCATAGGTGGCATGTCCTCACAGGCAGAACCCTACACCTGTCCAAGGTTCAGCTCAGTGCCATCTGCCTGCTGCAGTCTCCCTGGCAGCACATTGGCCGCTGGGTTACAATTGCAGCTGGCATCAGTGTTCACTGTTGGCACGCTCAGTGTTCACTGTTGGCACAGCCTTTGGCCCCTGCCTTGTGCCTGTAAGCATCAGAGAGAGCCTAGCAGCAGGTCTTCCTCCTCATCCATCCTGGCCTCCTTGAGGGCAGAAACCCTCGTATTCACCCCACTCACTGCTGTGGGTTCGAAAAGTACATAGCAGCCCCCCAGGATGGAGGGTCGGACACACCTGACCTCTTCCCTGCCACTATTAGACGGACAGGCCACATTTTTGAAAGCGAGATTGTCTCAATATTGAGATGCTTGCTTGCGTGACTCATAAAACATTAAACAAATCTTTTTTTTTTCATTAAAAAACAATTAGTCACAACCTCGAGCTAATGGCCGGATACAGCTCAGCAGTCAGCAGATGTGGCTCTCATGCTGAAATAATGAGGATGAGAACAATAACCCCTCATGCTTGCCAGGAGCTCTACCAGCTCACAGCACCCATTCACACCCAGTGTCCTTATTAATCCCCAGGAGAGCCCTGCAAAGCAGGCAGGGCAGGTGCTTTCGCCGGTTTTGTGGGTGCAGAAGCAGGCCCAGTCCTTCAGGTGCCGCTCAAGCATCTGGCACAGCCAGGCTTCTTCTCCCCCACCTCCATTCTCAGCCCACAACCCCGACCCGCCAACTGCTTCTCCCTCTTGTTCTGGTCCCTGCCCTGGGTCCCAGCTCTGCAGAGCAGGGCTCAGCTGTCGGGTGCTGAGTGGATGACTGATCCCTCTCCAGCTCAGCTGGCCAGCTCCATCCACTTCTGGAGCGTGCTGACCCGTCTCACAGGCCCCTGCCCTCCATGGGAGCTGGTCTTTCAGGCTCATGTGGGTACCTGGAGACACGCACAGATCAAATGCAGAAAGTACGTAGTTTTCTTCCAGGTTTGCAGATTGTCATCTGGATCTGGGCCCCTGAAGCCATTTAAAATCTGGGAGGTAAGAAACAAAAATCAGGGAAGTTAAATGTCAATACAAGATTTAGAAAACTTAAGACACAATTAGTCGAGTTGTCCCTGTCCTTGGGTGGGTTACAGGTATCTGCAGGGGTGCCCTCACCACTCTCCCTGGGGCTGAGACTAGGACTGCTTGGTTCCTACCCGGCTCCTCCTGGAGGTGCCAGGCACACAGTTCCCAACTTTGGTGATGAGGTTTTTTCTGCACATGGCAGTTTGCTGGTTTCTAGCTGTGCCAAAAAGTCTGGCTTCAAATCCTCGAGGAACTCAGGTGGATGAAGAAAATAAATTAGGCTTCTATTTCCAGTGTTAAGGGCTCAGTTTAAATCAATGTGCCCCTTGGTGGTAACACTGAGAGAACTGTGGCCATTTAGTGACATTAGTGGTTCTCACGTTGATCATACCAGCCTCGGCCCACCCACTTGCACTGCCTCTTGTCGCCCCATCAGACCTGAGCTTGGAGAAGTGCCCCCTCCTGGAAGTCATCATTAAAACATGATCTACCTACAAGGAGCTTTAATGGGTACATCATTACATAGATTCAAGAACGCCCTGTTCAAATTATGACCCAGAAAACTGCACTGATGGTGGTGAGGCCCAACCCTAAGGTCTTGTCTCCGCCACCATTTCATGAGTTGTAGTAGAACCACTCAGTGCAGGTACTGTTCAGATAAAGCCAGTCAGCATGCCCCTTTGGGCAAAGCACAGAGCGAGGTTTAGAGAAGGGAAATGGAGAGCACAAGGGCCCTGTCTCAGGGAAGTTAAAGTTCAATACCATCTTTAAGAAACTGCATGTTTCCTAAAGTATGCTTACCACTGTCCTCGGGCAGGTTATGTACCCTGTCAATGCTTCATTTCCTTATCTTAAAATGGGGACAAAATTATACTCACCTCATGAAACTTTGTGAAGGTTCAATGAGATAGTGAACTCGTATAAAGTGCTTATCCCAGAACCTGGCACACTGCAGGAGCTCAGTAAGTATTCACTATGATTGTCATTGTCATAATGACCATAGGTACCAATGACCACAGGAAGGCATAGGCTGAGATTTCTGCAGGAGTTGAGAAGACATAGGTTGAGATTTCTGCAACATTTCAGGCTGGGTCCTTGAGGGGGCAGGCTTTTTGGAGGAGGTGGGATTTGAATGATTAAATCTCAAGCATCTATCGGTCTCACCTGTCACCTGGCCTTAAAGATGGGTTAAGTGGGATGGATAGTGCAAGCATGGGCAGAAAGAGGGCAGGGCAAAAGCATGGAGGGCAGGGCAAAAAGTTAGTGTGGCTGGGGAGCAGATGGGTCTAGGTGACCGGAAGGGATAGGCTATGGTGTGGGAGAGGACTGCGGCTGTGGGCTCAGGGTGCCAGGCTGAGGGGTAGGGCCTCGTTTGGTAAGAGGGTGAGATCAGGACAATGTTCTAGGACTGTGGATTGGGAGGTGGCACATGGGGGGGGTGATAGGCTGGGGAAGGGAGGCACTTCTGGGTGCTTCAGGTGGGAAGAA